CTTAGCCGGTTGAGCTACAGGCGCTGAGCCCTTGAATTTCTATATGTTGGCTTTTTATTTTATTCATTAATTTCTTTTTTGTTCATGAATGTTCTCTCTGAAGTCTGCTTATAGAAAATATTCTCTTCATTGAGAGAGAAAGAAGAGAAATGCAAATATCCTCTAGTTTAATAATTGCTGTATTTTATAGGCAGTCCCTGCATTATAAATGAGATAGGTTCTGTGGGATTGTTGTAAAGTTGAATTTGTATGTAAATTGAATCAGGTACATTTACATATTACCTATAATAGCCTTCATTTGTAAATGTGAGTTGTATGTGATTCTGATGTTTGTAATTTGGGGACTGCCTGTATTTTTATGTTGATTTGGAGTTTCATTGAAGTAATGATGGTAGAACATTCATTCCTGAGGATGAGTGTTTGACTAAATAAATAGCATGTTCTGGAATTGGCAGAAAGAATTTCAAAGAGTGAGCTTTTGATAGAGTTTGTAAGTATGTGTCTACGTTATACATACATGTCTACTATGTGGATGTCTGGATTTTTTTATTTCATATCAAGTCAAAATCAACCCTTCCCTGCCTCTTTTATTTGAAGGACCCCTTCCTTTTCTTCAGTCACCAGTGCCAACAGTGTTGATCTTCCTGCTTGTTTCTTCTTGAAATTTCCTCAGCCAATCCCAGTATCTAGAGCGTTTGTTCAGAAACTACAGAACTGCACAGGTAAGTTTCGAATATGAGAAGTCAGTACTTACTTATTGTAAATGTGAAAAGGAAACTTCAAATTCAGATTATGTCAGTTGTGTAGGCCTCAGTGAAATACTGATGGCTATAGATGTTATCCTGCTTTGTACTAATAATGCTAAGTAAGTGCTTTTTGAACAAATGTGTGAATCAATGTAGAAATCATGAAGGGAAACCAAAGTGTTAACATTTTTATCTTAATGTGATCACTATATTGATCCTTGTTTTTCCAGGAATTCCATTGTTTGAAACTCAACCAATTTATGTACCCCTGTATGAACTGATCACTCAGTTTGAGCTGTCAAAGGACCCTAACCCCATATCTTTGAATCACAACATGCGGTTTTATGCTGTAAGTAAGGCCCCATGGAACTAGAATATTATAGGTTATGTCTGGACCCAAGATGATGTCCTATTTCTTCAGTAAAACAGGAAATTATCAAGATCTCTGAAACATACTAAAGAAAAAGATCATGAGTTCCCATCCGGAAACAACAGTCTCTATATTTCCTTATTGAACTTTCAGATGAAATCTCTTAATTGTATTTCAAACATTTACAAGCTCATAAGTAGTTGTTAAGAATTCTTATTATTGGGGTGGTGCCTGTGGCTCAGTGAGTAGTGCGCCAGCCCCATATAATGAGGATGGTGGGTTCAAACCCAGCCTTGGCCAAACTGCAACAAAAAATAGCCGGGTGTTGTGGCGGGCACCTGTAGTCCCAGCTACTCGGGAGGCTGAGACAAGAGAATCGCTTAAGCTCAAGAGCCGGAAGTTGCTGTGAGCACTCCACTGAGGACGACAAAGTGAGACTCTATCTCTTTAAAAAAGAAAAAATTCTAATTGGGTGGTGCCTGTGGGTAGGGCTCTGGCCCCATATACCAAGGTTGGCGGGTTTAAACCCAACCCTGGCGAAACTGCAACAAAAAAATAGCCGGGTGTTATGGTGGGCGCCTGTAGTCCCAGCTACTAGGGAGGCTGAGCAAGAGAATTGCCTACACCCAGAGTTGAGGTTGCTGTGATTTGTGACGCCAGGCACTCTACTGAGGGCAATAAAGTGAGACTCTATTTCTAAAAAAAAAAGAATTCTTATTGTTGCTTCAGCTTAGTGGCTCAGGGCTATAATCCTAGCACTCTAGGGTGGATCTCTTGAGCTCATGAGTTAAAGACCAGTCTGAGCAAAAGCAAAACCCCATTTCTACTAAAAATAGGAAAAACTGGCTGGGCACTGTGACAGGAGACTGTAGTCTGCTTCCCTGGAAGATAAGATAAAGGGATTGCTTGAGCCCAAGAGACTGAGATTGCTGTCATTCAGCTATGATGATCTACTCACAGCACTCTACTCAGGGTGACAAAGTAAGACTCTGTCTCAAAAAAAAAAAAGAATTCCTTTTGTTAATTCTTAAAGTGCCATTATTTAATAATCTGGGAAGGTCCTACAAATACTTACAGAGAAGAAAGTGCTAGAATAAATCTATTATGGAAGGTTCCAGAATCTCATTAAGGCATGAATTTTCTTGAATGTTGACAGTGATCTAAATCATAGTTGCCAAATTCTGGCTGTATTTCATATATATTTATACACGCACACATACATATATTTAGGGTGTTTTATTAAAAATAAAGATTTTGCACTTATGGCAGGGGTGTCCATCCTATGGCTCGTGGATCACATGCAGATTTTGTGAGGACTTTTTTGCTCATCTATTGTGTCGGACGGTACAAAAAGTATGCATGGTCCTTTTTTAACTCATCAGCTTTGTTAGTGTTAGTATATCTAATGTGTGGCCCACAACAATGTATTCTTCTGATGTGTACCAGAGAAAAAAAAGGTTGGACATCCCTGACTTATAGCTTATGTACCTCATTAATACAGATTCCTGAGGTAATTATTATATAGGTCAGGAAACCACGAGTACACACATTTACTAAAAAGGGATCTTTTCAGCTAAATGATTAATTAACTGGCATTATAATATCCACCAGTCAAAGAATTCACTGTGGAGTTTATTACTCCCCAAGACTTTGCTGCACTTTTGAGGAATAGTTTTTTTTCAGCTACAGTTTATGGTTGTACTACAAAGAGTAACTAAATAACACTTATTAGCTTTCTTCTTTTTGCCCAGGCTCTTCCAGGTCAGCAGCACTGCTATTTCCTCAACAAGGATGCACCCCTTCCAGATGGCCGAAGCCTACAGGGAACTCTTATTAGCAAAATCACCTTTCAGCACCCTGGCCGAGTTCCTCTTATCCTAAATCTGATCAGACACCAAGTTGCCTATAACACCCTAATTGGAAGTTGTGTTAAAAGAACTATTTTGAAAGAAGGTACTGGATTTCTTTTGATATACTTATAAGAAGATGGAAACTGACTACTCGAGTAGTTGTATTATTTGTTGGCCTATCAAAATCATTTGCCAAACTTTTTTTTTTTTAAGGGACAGAGTCTCACTCTGTTGCCCTTAGTAAGTGTCATGGCATCACAGCTCACAGCAACCTCCA